TGCTGCCGCTCTTACGGCGGGGCATCGCCGTCAGTTGCCCCTCACGTCTCCGGGCGCTTCGTGGCGGTGGTGGCTGTTGGCGGCTCTCCTGACTTTCCCCTTCCCCGCCTTCCTTCCAGTGATCCAGTTCTTCGACGCCGTCAAGGCGGATCGCACGCGGAGCTGGCTCTACGCCGCTTGCTCCCTCTCCTACCTGGGCGCTATGGTTTCCAGCAACTCGGCTCTGCAGTTCGTCAGCTACCCGACTCAGGTGGAGCGGGGCGGGGGGCCAGGGGAGGCGGCGTTAATGCACAGCTTGGCGCTCCGTTCCCCCCCCCCCCCTTAACGCGCGGGGCGCCCCGAAAACGGGCGCTGCGCTGACGAGGCTAACGCTGCGGAAGAACCGGCCGGTGAAATGACACGGAGGGAAACCGCGGTTTTGTTTTCCTGTAGCTGCGTTTGTGGGGCTGTGCCGCTGCGGTTCAGTCGGCCCTGGGTGTGCAGAGAGGGGCCAAAAGAGCTCAGACTGTTCCAGAAAGGGAACAGCAATCCCTAGAAGTTACGGGAATTCGCTAACTGGGAGCGGGTGCTAATGTTGGAGGGCTTGAGACGATTTCTGAAAGCTTCACCGTTAATTTAGCAGTCGCCCTGCCGTGGGGTTTTTCGTCTTCCTTTTCTTGAAGTAGCTGGTGTGTTTTATGGGAGGGGCGCGTCGGGGCGGTCTGATCCCGCACGGTCACCCTTGCGTTGCCGTGATCTCTCTCCTTGCGGGCGGGTTGATGGCACGCGGGTGGTTAACAGAGTCTTTCTTTCGTAGGTCCTAGGCAAATCCTGTAAGCCTATTCCAGGTAAGCAAATTTCACGTTTCTTCGGGTATGTTTGCGGGGATTTCTCGTGCCCTCGACACGGACCTCAGCTGCCAAAACAGTGCCTCTCCCCTTCCGTCCCCTCTGCCACGGGAGACGCAAGCGGCGGTTTATCTGCGTGTTGTTCTGTTGGGCCAAGTTAAAATCCCATGAGCGGGTTTTGGGAGCGGTTTGTGACGTTGCTTTCTTTACAGTCATGCTTTTAGGAGTGACTTTGCTGCGGAAGAAGTATCCCCCGGCCAAGTATCTCTGCGTCCTCTTGATAGTCGCAGGCGTGGCCCTGTTTCTGTACAAACCTAAAAAGGGGGCTGGGAGCGATGACCACGTCTTTGGCTATGGAGAGCTCCTTCTGGTGAGTGCTGCCAACGCACACGTGACCCCGGCCGGGGCGAGGAGGAACTAGCAGTTACAACACAGATAAGGCCGCGTCCTTTGTACCTCCAGCGTGCCCTAAAGCTGGTGTGGAAACACGCCCGCAGGAGGACGCCGGGGCTGGAGGGGCGCGCTCTTAAGCTGTGGCGTGAGATCAGCGCATGAGTACAGGCGCATCCCTCTTAGCGTGTGTTCTGAGGCCACGTAATTGCTGTTGAACAGGTGATTGGGATGTAAAAGAACAAAGGGGGAGAATGCTCAAGGTCTTCCCCACGGAGAAGAAATAAAGAATGAAGGTTTTCTTTGCGTTCTCTTATCTCTGTCTCTTCTCAGCTGCTGTCACTGACCTTGGATGGGCTGACTGGTGTGTCTCAGGACCACATGAGAGCTCACTACCAAACGGGTTCCAATCACATGATGCTGAACGTTAATCTGTGGTCCACCTTGTTCCTGGGGGCTGGTAAGGAACACCCCGCAAAAACCACAGCCGCCGCGCCCAGAGACTGCCCTGGGACACCCCCTGGGAAGAGACATCGTGTCCCGCTCCAAAAAAGGGCCTAGAACACTTTTTGCAAATAACTTTATGTTTTGGGTTGGGTTTTATCTGTCTGTGTATAAGAAGTGGGGGTTGGTCAGTGTAGCTCTCCTCACGCCCACTAGAGGACACCGCTTCACGCCGAGCGTAGCCGCCCGACGCTTGTTGGCTTCTGAGAAGTCCTCCCTGCAGGCCAAGCTCCCTGCTCCAGCCCCAACCGCCCGCGTTTCTACCCGAGGGCCCTCGTGCGCCGGCAGAGGAGCAGACCGTATCACCGTAGCTTTCTGCTCCAATTAGGGAGTAGCGCTTTCTAATTCATTGCTAGGGGCTGTTTTCTCAGAATTGGATCTGCAGTTAACGATTGCTTCTTTCGTTAATTAACTAGGAAGGCGATCGCTTTTTCTCCTGTTCTCTTTGTTTTCCGCTGCGTGGAATTCGGTCTTTGCTTTTAGTAGCTCCTGTTGGGTTATGAGCGTAAACCGAACTCGTACTGCGTAGGCAGCGGCTGCTCGGGCTGCCTCTGGGCTCGTAATTCTTGCTTCTCATCTTGATCTTTCTTCCAGGGATATTGTTCACTGGAGAGCTCTGGGAGTTCTTGAGTTTTACGGAACGCTACCCCAGCGTCATTTACAACATCCTACTGTTTGGCCTGACGAGTGCGCTGGGTCAGGTAAACGCGCTTCCCTTGTTCCGCGGCCTTCGCTGGGATGTTTGCCCTGCTGGGAGACGGCAAAGCGAGGCCGCCTCGCTTTCCGTTGCTTCGGTTGTTGCTTTCTGTACAGGCTGCCTTCAGAGTAAAACTGGTTGACGTTTGTATGCAAACAACCAGGATTTGAAATAAAATTCTTTCGGCTCTGGCTCGATGGCTTTTCATCTGAAAATACGATCCGTGTTTTTTCCAGTCAGAGTGACAAAAGGCATCTCTTTGTTTTTGACAGAGTTTCATTTTCATGACTGTGGTATACTTCGGACCTCTGACCTGTTCCATCATCACCACGACCCGCAAGTTCTTCACCATTTTAGCCTCCGTCATTCTGTTTGCCAATCCCATCAGTACGATGCAGTGGGTGGGGACGGTCCTGGTGTTCTTGGGTAAGTCTGGGAAGCGAACGCCCGGGGTCTTTCCCCTATTGACTTAAACAGAGACGATGTGTAGCGAGGGGAGAGCTAACAAAAGATGCTGGTCAAAAAAAACCCCTAATTGCATTAAAACACCCTCCGTGGAGGAGCGTGTTAGTAGCCTCACCAGTGCAGGAAGAGAGGAACGCGAATTCTAGCGGATCTCTTTGGTCTCCCCCCCCCAAACCCCGGGAAAGCAACGCCCCCGAGGCAACCGTAACCAGTTGGTGCCGTTAAGCTGATTTTTCACAAAGTTCCTTGTGTTGTATTTGTTCGAAGAAAATGGCTTCACGTTCTATGCGCACGGGTTATTTTTATCTCTTCGCAGGCCTTGGACTTGATGCCAAATTTGGAAAGGGAGTAAAGAAGACATCGCATTGAGGAGATGGTTGATCTCTGCAGCTGGAATGAACTTTTAATTTATTGTCTTGTACCTCAAAATCTGTTATGAAACTGGACTCAGGATAGGTAATCAGAAGGAGAGTGTTTGGATTTTTTGTGTTATAGTTTTTTAATTCTAAATCGTCTTAGAAGTGTAATACTTTAGTTTTAACTGTAATTAAGCTTCCCCCCACCCCCCCGTAATCAAAGCTGCGTTACTAGATCCTAGCAGCAGGATGAAACTCTTGCCTTAACAGGAAAAAAACTTCATATCTTTATTAAAGAAAAAGAGACAATGGCCGCTTTTCCAGAACTTTAATTTCGGTCTCGTTGGCTGATCTTGGGGAGAAACAGCACACCTCTCTCCCAGGAGAGGGCTAGTCGTAGAATTCCGCTAGTTCTTTGGTGTGGCCTGGAAAGATCCCTGGATTAAAGGCCCGTGTTGAAGACAACCCCCTCTTCTCATTGGCTGTATGATTTTCTTTTTTCCGTAACTGAGTTGGTGGAGCAGCCGGTTGGATGCTCTTCCATTGAAATAATATGCGTAAACATGGAGACGCATTATATCCTTCGTCCGAGCCCTTCTAGAACAGAAGCAACTCTTGGCATATGTAAAAGTTTACAGGAAACCTGTTTAACCAGTGGGGCCCAAATTAATTCTTTTCATCCCCCCCCCCTCTGGTGAAGGAACAGGACCCTCTGCTGCTAAAACCACGCCAAGGTTGCGCGACAGCAGTGTCTGCATGTTGCAAAGGCCCTCGTTAATTAACCACCCTCACGGCCAGCTTTCCAACACCCGCTCCTGAGCGCAGGCTAGCTCCCCGGTGTTGCGTGGGGAGGAGTTGTTATCATAATGATGCCTTCAGAGTTGGAGAGCAAAATTCTCCAAAGAGCAAACTTTACACATGAAAGCATGTTTCTACCAGCTGTCGCTTGGTCTCCATCTGTTCGGTGGCTTTGGCCTTTTGCCCCTCCAGATGGGATCTTGATCTCTTTCCTGAGCGGCTGTTGTAAGTCTCTCTCTCCCTCTCTCTCTCTCCCCCCCCCACCCCTCCAGTGTTTTCTTACAACTTTTTTGGCCTCAAATTTGGTTTTCATTTAATCTGTCTCACTGTCCTGTAGTTCTACTCAAACAACACATTTCTTGCAAAATTAAACCCTAGGCTATTAAAGGGTCTTTCTCTGTCAGCTTCACCTCTTTGCTAACTTACATTGTCTTAAAGGTCAAGTGATAAGTAGCAAACAAACATGTTCTCAGTAGTAGGGAATCCTGAAGTAAAAGCTTCTGTGGCTTAACTCCGTGAATGCTGCCTGATGAACACCATGTGCTGGCATCTGCTACTGTACGGTGGGGATCCTGGCTCCCCCGAAGACAGTTATGCCTCCCGGTGTCTCTAAGGTAATGAATACTATTTCCATTTTATAAAAGGGAGAAGAGAAATTGCCTGACTCGTTCATGAACACTGCGGCAGAGATAAGAATTAATTCTTTTGTGCGTCTTAATCACAAAACTATCCTTCCTCTGTGTTTATAGGACTTGCGCTCCTCTGTCTCTTGGCACTACCTTAAATTTAACCGATTCTCAAACTCGGCAACCAAAAGCAGCAAAAAGATTCTAGGCGAGCTCTCAATTCCATTAGTTTTGCAGACTTGTTTTCCCTTCTATTAGTAATCTAATGTAGGAATAGACCCAGCTCCCCCGTCACTGTGCAAATACAAACGCCTGAAAAATGTGTTATAAATCACGCCCTCAGCCATCCACTTCCTGGTGATAATCTTGGAATTTCTGTTCAAACATGTCGCCTGTTAAGGCTATTTGAGTCACTGCTGCTACAAACCGCTACTCTGTTCTAGAGCGTGTGCTACAAATCAAAGGGCAATCACTCCTATTTTGACTCCACAGAAGCAGAATCGCTTATTAGCGGTAATTCTATACTGACTAAAGCTCTTGAGAAAGTATATCATCAGAAACTGAGGGACTGAGATAGCAGCAGCCTTTCTCCGCTGCGCTGTCAGTCTGTTATCGGCAATCTCCTTTTTATTTACAGCATCTCAAGCCAAATTGCCTCGTTGGTGGACATGCTGGAAGACTGCTCTTCCTGAACTCTCCTCCCCCCTTTGCCCTGGGTCTAGGTGTAGCTCTAGGAGAGACAGTGTCTTAAAAATGAAAGAAAGACTTCATTGTTAATTTTTTCCTTAACCGTTGAAAAGAAGCCACCATAGTTTCAAGGGAAATTTTGCTCAAACCCACGGGCCTGTCCCCTTCCCCACGCTGCAGCAGCCTAGGCGACCGGCAGAAAGAAGAAAGCTGGGAGCTTCCTAGGGTCTATTTTCTAAGCCAGGATCTGTCTTTACCAACATCTTCAACTTGTCTGTATTCAGAGCACAGATTTAAAGATCAGTCTGCCAAGAAGAAAGAAAATAAAGGAGATTTTCTCTCTCCTGATTGCTGCAGGCTCCCTTGACCCACTTTAGCTCTAAAGCCTGTTCCTGGTGTTGCTCCAGCTTGGTTTTTGCTGCACCTCCAACTCTTAGTCAATCAGAATTTCTTAAAACAAAGGCAGCTCTTGTACCTACCTTAAGTCTGAATCCTTTGGATTTCCTTGGACAGCTTGCTGTCTTCTCTCCAGACCTCACGTACTGCGAGATCCCAGAGGAGTCTACAAAAGCAATTCGAGAGGCTATTTTCAAATCAGCGCTGGCTTTTCTTCTTGGACAGTTTTAACAACGCTGCCACAAAACAGGTCCCCAGCTTTGAGCTGCCAGGAGGAGTGCTGTAATGCCTCTCCCCAGTGACAGACTGGTTACCACGTTTTGAGAAGCCTGCCTGGTGACTTTTGGTGTATGTTCCTGCTTGAGTTCAGCTGTCTCTTTATTTAAAGACAGGTAAACTCCAGAGGAACTGGGTTAGGATCCAATAAAGTTTTCAGCCTCCGTGTTACTTTTTCCTGTTAGAAATGGTAGCTCCTCTTCAAGGGGCCTTTTGCAGAGGGATAAATGTGTTCAATAGTTTTTTGGCTTTCTTCTTTTTTTATAAACAGCACAAGTGTCTTCAGAGGCAATGCTTGAATTCTGGTGAGGTGTCAGGAAAGGCTTTCTGTCTTCAAGTAAGAGATTAGTAATGTACAAAGCGTTGACAGAACTTACTCGGGTTTATCTAGATGCCGCGTAACATCTAGGGTACGGCTGTGCAGAGGAATCGTTAACTACTGCTGGCAAGTTCTATTTTGCTTATTCAAAGAAGGAAGCCGCCTGTGGTAGCGTGTGCACCTGTAAGCAGTTTAGAGGTTTCAGGGAATTAAAGCACAGTGCCCAGGTTCTCTACCAACAATCTGGGCTTCGCCAGTTCTGCTATGACTCGGTTTGTGTCTCTCTGCTTTTTTTAGACATTCTCCAGTTTATTAGAAGGGTGCAAACCTAGTTAAATAAGAGACTACCTTGTTCTTTTTAGTCCTGTGTGCTTGATCTGTCTTTCCCCAGCTGTAAGCAAGCTGGGGAAATTGTGTAATGACATATTTTCCAAAATGAAAAGTTTTTGCAAAGCGTAAAACGTCACCCTTTGCAGTCAAGATGGTAGGTGCTTTGTGTTCAAAGCTCTGTAATGTTTTGAGTTTGGGCTGACTTGCCAAGGAGTTACTAAAGGGAATGCTTGTGGTTTGCGCCTTCCTTAGCAGATGTGACTGGTCTTTTTCTGAGTAGAAGAGGAAGGGAGGTCAGTTGAGTAGGAGATTAATTTATTAAGTGCCTTAGACAAAGCCCTGCAAGTGCAAAACATGAAGGTCAGACTGAGAAATTATGAAGAGATTCCATCTTCCTCTCTTCTACTTTTTGTTGCCTTCAGAGTCCCAACCCCAAGTCCATTTATGACTCATCCAGTTACCAGCAGGGGGAACTCTTATTTCAATCATTTTCAAGAAATGCAAGGAGAAAAACAACAAAAAAGCAGTTCCTCTTTAATTAGCGATGTAACTGTACTTCTAGAGTCTTTGTGCTTACAGTAAAAGCATAATGTGGAAATCAAGGTCTCCTCCATTTTTATTCTGCTTAATTCTTTTTGACCATCAGCAGAGACTACATTCAAGCTAAGTCGTTAGAAGCTTTAAGACAATCACCATCTCTTCTGCAGAATGGCCTTCATTACAAATAGCATGAGTATAAATAAGTATGCGCACGCCTGCGTGTGCTCTTGTCCTCCTGTAACACGAACAGCTGGCTTCCCGCACAGCAGCAGCCACCGGCATCACGGTCGATGTTTTTGAAAACATTCCTGCCAGAATTCTCCTAGGAACCTTGTCAGTTCTTGGTGGTTCCAGGGAGATGAGAAGAGTCACGCACGTACTGAGAATAAACAGCAGATTACATTGCTGCAGCGTTTGTGCCTGTTGTCCCTCCAGGAGGAACTCGCTGATGTATCAGCTAAGAAAGGTGAAGTTTTATTTCATAGCTAACTGAGACATGGCATCCACAGGGGGGAAAACTTAGCAGCTGCGTTCCTTTTCCTTTCATCTTCCTCGTTTTTACGAGCTCCTTCTGCAACTCCATCAGCAGATGTTTAAAAAACCCCAAATGTTTAGAGAGCACATAGAATAAGGTAGATGATACTGTATGTGCATATTTTTTACAGAGGTGGATATAATTGTGTACCACTGATAATTTTCTGGTCACAGGATAGCAAAGACTCATGCTCAAATGACAACAGTTTAAGGGATACGGAAATTATCGTTACTGCTTTGAAATCAATGAATTGCCAATCTTGAAGATACCGCTTAAACCCAACCCTAACAGTCATTCTTCCAAGAACAACTAGGATTTAGGCTGTGCCGTTCAGTTAAGAGTCAGTGATGATGTGAGCTTATCCGGCAGGATTCCACACACTCCTGCAAAGGGAATGGGAATTCCTGTCAGATTTCAGGGACTGAAAAGCACATGAGAATAAAAATAGCACCCATCGGGGAAAATACGTGCTAGCTTTAGAGTCCCACTTTAGCATGTAGTAAGTTTATGCTGACTCGTAGTAGGAAGAAGTTTGTAAGGCCGATAGGGATGGGATATGCATTTGAAATACATACTCTTATAATAACCAGTTTCATACTTAGATTTACAGTTCATAACTAATGGAATTTCAGCAACAGTGAGCCAGGGATGCATGTAGAGAACAGGAGAAACAGTAATTGCCTCAGACTGAAACTGAGACAGCTGGATGTCACACTGGAATGAGGTATTTAAGGTTTTAAGTATTTTAAGGAAAAATATTAAGATGAAAAGTGCATGTAAGGCTTCAGAATTAAATTAGCAAAAATGGTCACGTGGCTTTTTTTCCTTTCTCTTGCCATGCTTTTCTGCAGTGCTTGCAATGTCATTTTCATCCATTTTGTATATTTATGCACATACAGGATCCTGAACATTTTTAATACCACCTTCATCATCACAGTTCAGTTACTTTGGTAAGCTCACAGCCTATTCCCAAAGCTTTTATGAGCAATTAATCTGTTTTAAAGAAAAAAAAAAAAGTGTTCAGAAGACAGCATGGTTTCCATACACGGTACTTGTTGAAATACTGACTCATGCAGTAGAGGTGTTTTGCTAGGAGAATGCAAAAAAAACCCAAAAAAAGACTGCCAGGGTCAGGGATGGTGGTGTGCTTTTCCCTGGAAGTAGGTTCAGGTCCTTTACTTGGGTCTTCAGTTTTACTCAAGAGCAGCACAAATGTGCAGCGTTAGGCATTCCCAAGAGCAGTTCTATTGGCACAGACCAGATGCCAAAGAATCCATAAAAGTTAAAATCCTGCCAGGCCCGTCACGGAAACCTTCCATCACCTGGAATGAGGACTAAGTCTTTTGCTTGACTGAAACTCGAAAACGGGAATGAAATGAAATATTTTTAATAGGCATACATAATTGGAGGACAGCAAGGAAATCTTTTCCATAACGGTCCTTGTACATAGTGATTTGCTTTTCTGCAGGTGGGACTAGCACCCCACAGTTTTTAATCAAATGTTGTCATTTCCCCTTTATAATAGCCACTGTTTAAAGACAACACTAAGAAATCTTGCAGTGGCCCTGGAACGTGAATAGAGGGCATACTAGGCCCATCTGCAATGGCCTCTTCCCATCGACAGCAGAAAACTGTCCTCCAAAGGACTATTTCCCACCTAAAATTAAACATTACGAGGCAATAAAAATCTCGCCCCTCTCAAGTACACTCAAACAGTAGGGATCATCGTCTCCAGTTTCTGTGGTAGTGGAAAAAGTAGACAGTTGAGTTTGTGTCCTCTGGCAGCACGATTGCTTGACATTCGTTAGCTAAACTTCTAAAAATCACTTCTCAGAACAACGCAAACTGCTTGCAGGCAAAGGCTGCCTCTTTTATTCCTTATCAGCTTTGAGAAGCTGAGTCTGCTTTCGAGACAAATTTGCAGCCTGCTCTGATTTAGTTTATTCTCAGAATTGTAATGTCACTTTCTCCCAAGGTCTTGAGAGATCTCATTCAGTGAACACGATAGGCTATAACTTGTTAATTAGTTTTACAGTGAATGTGGCAAGAAAAACAATCCTGGTCTCAGGATTAAGAAACAACAGCGATTTGGATTAGCAGATTCTGCCCCTGCCTTAGGACCTGTGTGGCAATCCCATAACCTGACGTGTTTAACTGATGACTGTTTTTTATTTTTGTACGAACAGCTGGGCTAGATCTGCAAAAGGGGGAGTTCACAGCCACAGCTGGAGAGATGTAAAACTCTCATCTGAACACACAAAGCACAACTGAATTACCAGCTTCTCTGAATAACAAGGCCTGAGATGTATCAAGTTGGGCACTTCAAATTAGTGCATAGTTTTGACGTGAACTTTGTCTTCTCTGGTTTGATAAATCCTAAGATGTCTTTTTTTTTTTCCCCTCTGTCTATAGTGCATGAAGCATAGTATCACTTAAAATCACAGAGGTACTGGTTAAGATAGCTTCATTAATATTTCTAAGCAGCAAGACACCATTACCTGATAATTGAGGAAAGGCCCAGGAAGAAGTTAATTATTTTTGCAGTCAGTAAATATTTTAGGAAGTGTGAGTTACATAAATCCTGGGAACCCATACAGGATGCAACATTTCATTTCATTATCTATAAACTTACCCACTCACAGAAAGGGATAGCACAGTCCAGTGAAAAAAGTAGTTCTGTAAACGCTGGAATTAGCAACCCCTTCTTTGATGGAATGTGGTAGAATGCAGTGATCTTTGAGGCCCCTACTTCTTTGTTTTAACTTGGTTGGAGAACACTGCTGAATTAGAAGTTATTGAGGGATGGGGTAGGAAGATAGGAACATCAAACAACATAAGCTTTGTCTCCTTAGGAAATCAGGTTAAAGCTAACGTGATCATACAATTATAGACTACAGCATACAGACCTCTACAATAGGACCAAAATATTGCACGGACAACCTTACTTGTGGTTGGTTTTCATGGCTCCTGAATGCCTGGTTTTGAAATCACCCTTGTAGAAAACAATTTTCTATGCAATAACTGAGTGCATCTTCAAATGAAATTAAACATCTGAATACTCATTACAGCCATTTTGGTTGCAGGAACTTAATGCCATAATAGTCATTGCAGGACATTGCTAATGAGAAGGCAAAAACAAAGAGCCGATTAGCTCCACATTAAGCTGTTCAGTTCCGTAAGAATGTTCTAGAATAGCAATATTTAAGTCATAATACTTGCTAGAATTTGTGCAATAAAGTACATACTGACAGCTAGTATTAATCTTTGTGTCGAAAGCAGAAATTTAGAGAGCTCTCCTCTCTTCCACCAGCATTAAAAAAATAGAACAAGACTAAACTGTCATCTTGTTATGAATCCTGATGCTACGTGATTGAAAAAGTCTTCATTTATGATACCTTAAAAATCCTGCTTTTTCCTCACCTGTTGTTATTCCCTGCAAGGTCCAGACTGCAAATGCAGTTTTACGTTTTTCCTTTACTAGATCACTTAGCTTCATTGTTCCCTACTTCTTTCTTACTGGATTTACTTCCTTTTTTTTTTTTTTTTCCAGCTGTTGGAGCCCTTTATGCTCATTCATAGTTTCATGCTCTGTTATACCGAGTGAATCTTATCCTCGATTTTTCAAGTCTTTTGTCCAATTATCTCTCTCTCTACCTGTAGAAGGGGAAAACAGCAGTGATAAAAACCTTTAGACTCTGTTGCAGTCCGTTCCCACTTCTCCAGTAAGGAAGATTGCTGTGATAACATTGAAGATTAATTCTTGTTTGTGGAGAAAAGCGGGTTTGAATAAATCTGAGGACTTTCGACAATGTTCTGAGCTCCTCTACTCTGCAGGTGCTAGCAGAGTTAACAGCATCTTGGAGAAAGGAAAATAATTTCACAGACCATTAGGGCTGGTGGGAAGCAGCAGGATCAGGTTTTAATGAATACAGGATCAAAAGCATCTTAAAGCAAACTAGCACTGAAAACAAGAGCAGGCTCATCAGGGAAGACGGGAGATGCTTCTAACGAGAAACAAAGCACCAACTCAAAGACATTAGGGAGTCACTCTCACAATAGTGCATTTTAAAGTATAATTTCCTCTTCTAAAAAATTAGCTTTGATACTTTTCCAATACATGTAAAAATAGCATTATGAACAGATTCCCTGCAATTAAAATCTCCAAGTCAGAGTTCTTCCAAAGGAGGTCAAGAATTTTTTAAACAATGTTTGTTTTCTCACAAATAAAAGTAGTTTTTACTCACAGCAACAATTACTAAGTTATCTTACAGTATTTTGAAGTCCGGAAAGCAAATTCAGACAAGAAATATGCATAGCAGTAAACTCAGACCCGAGAATGGTTTCTCCTTAGAAAAAGGAGACTATCCCACCGCTACCAGCAGGCACTTTCTCATAGAAGTGCTGATCGTTACTGTGTTTTGTACTGAATTTAACGCTCTGTGTATGCGGTGGCTGTGCTAGAGCAAATTTATCCTTTCATGCTCCAAGGGACATAGGTGCTACTGGATCCGAATGTAATGAAAGTAGGAGCTAATTGCTTAAGTGCTAGGACAAGGATGGTTTTGAGCACATGCATAACCAGAAACTGGCAATACTTAAGTGAACTTTCAGGGCAGAAAGGGCGGTACCGGAAAAATTCAGGTATCTGTGATTTTATACATCTGTTGAAAAAAAATTGCTTTCAGTCATAGTTTTGAATCTGGATGCCTAAAACCCACCTAAGTCCTATACTCTTCTGGATTTCTGCTTTGAAACCGGAAGCAACCAGTTTCCCAATTTCATCCTTTTTTTTTGTGTATGAACAAGCTACTTAACTTCTCTACACTTTTTTAAAGTTTTAAAAGATGGGTAATACTCAGCTTACCTTCCTACTCCATGCAACACTGAAGATTAGTTAATTTATAGTGAAGGAAAAGCGGGGATACGGGACTCCATCTAGCTCAGTACTTGCTATTCTGTTGCAAACTAAATTTTGTGGAAAAGGGTTGCAAAAGAAAAAGCTCACTAGTTTCCTTTCCCTGGAGGATCCTCAGACTTAGATAGTTCAAAGAAGCCAGTATCTCAGAAGCTTCTCCTTTCATCACAAACCATATCAGCACTTACTGTCCTCTAGCGTGCTCCGCTAGTGCCAAAGCTTAGACTCCTTTGACAAGATAAATAATAATGTAAGCTTTGTACTGGGCTAGGTGAGAGCGTGACATTTTCAAGAGGATGGAGATACCCTGGCAGAAGTCAGACTGGAAGGATAACCTATTAGATACTAGATTTTTAATTGGCTATGACACAAAAAATTACTATTTTGCAATGAAACCATAGAAGCCTATAATATCAAGATTCTTTTTGTGTCTTAAATTTAAAACAAACAGTAACCATACCCTAAACCAAGCAATGATTCCCTTACTGTTTGTGAATATACCACAGCATTCCTTTTGCATTACATATGGAAAATGAGTTGTATAGATGTCTCACTGGTATAAGCAGAGGTGAATCAAGTATGTTTGTGTGCATTGTATGCAATGTTTGTGCGACTGTTGCATATATAAAAGCCTCATTAAGTCTCCCCAGTGATTGGAGGTGGGTTTTGTTTAGAATGGTTTTGTTTGTTTTTGTAACAAAGATAGCAAACACAGGAAATAATTAAATAACTGTGTTTTCATACTCTCCTGCTCATCAGGAGCCTATATGAGATTTTAATTAGTGCTGCATTTTCAATAAGTCTGTATCCGTACGTGTTGCAGATTCTTTCCTGGATAACAGGGAGATAATTGAGAATCCTGTTTTTCAGTCTCTCACGAAAGGGCTGGGTGATATATTTAATCATGATGTAGAAATGCTGGCAGGTTTCTCTGAGTTCAGCCTCTCTCTAATTACATTTCTAGATTTTTAGTAAATTGAAAGGGAAAATGTAGGAACAAAATAATTAAAACCAAAGAGGAAGCGAATATTAAGAAGCAGGAGCTATTTAAAATTCTTGCACACAACTCTTTCACGGACATCAGTTTAATCAGCTTCACATAAAAATCAAACTTACACACAAAAGTAACACCTCCAAACCTGTATGTACAGTCGCATTTACTGGTTCTTTTCATGCAGAAAAAAAACACCTGTCTTGTATCATTCAGATGATACTGAGAATTGTACCCAAAGTAAATGCATTTGATAATTTGGTACTCTCACATGCACACTAGTGTCAAAACACACACCCCCCAGCCTATCCCCAGGCAAATTTTCAAGGTTCAAGCAGTACCTGCACCTAGGAATCGTCCAGTCATTTTATTACAGCATTGTATTAAAGACAGAAGGTAGGGTTTGTGAAGACTAAGTTACAGTATTTCACTTCTATCTGCCACCAAGGAGTACAGAATTGACCCAACTTTTTCATATGGAGGAGAGGTGAAATTTGATCTTCATTTCCACAGATACCCAATTTAATTTTCCACTTCCTGGGAACAAGAGAATTTTGATCAGGAGAACATCATAAACTGCAAAAGAGGTTGACCTCCCTACCGCTAAATGACACATGGCCAGTGTTGAATTAAAGGAGACATTTTTGTTTCTTCTATCTAGAAACCCCTTGTATCAAGACTCTGCAGCTTAAGTGCTCTAATGCAGGAGGGGAGGGGGGAATCTCTTTGTTTTCTCTTAAACTGGTGCTGTAATTTCCTTTTGTACTTCAAGAGAATAAATACGTCAGTAAAAATCCACAGTTTATATTGTGAATATAAAATCCAGGATAACGGAGAGGGTATGAAAATAAGTTTCTAGGAGAAATGTGTAGCCGCGATAGGAATGCTAATACCAATTCTGTACTTTCCAAGAGGCAGTTTTGTGGCATTTCTTCCTTACAATGCAGCATTACCTGCTGTTTTGTCACCACAGGCAGCAGTTTTTGAAATGAAGGAATGAAGCAGGGTCCAAGAATTGGTCATGACTTGGATGAGATACTCGCCAAGAAAACCCAGGACACTGCAGAAAATGTTAGCAATAAAACAGGCAATATTCTCTGAGGTAGTAGTGGACAAATGTGGCAGCCTAGCGTACAGGACCAATTGCGCTATGAGAAGCAGCATTTTTCATCTGAGAGAATGAGATCTGAGATAAAAAGACTTTGGATCTTTCATTTGAATAAGTGTAGCTGTGACATATTATGTAACCTGGCTAATTTGGTTATCGGGGTGCTTTGCGTGTAATTGTATTAACTCATTGTAACATGAGACTGAAACTGGCAGGAAAGGAAGGTTAGCTCTGGATAAACTTTCTACAAACATATACGTAATTAAGGACTACTAACAATGAAAATTTTGCTTCCTCTGGTTGCAAACCATTACAAATTAGAAGAGGGAAGACCCATATATAAAAGAGATCTTAGGATCACAGGATAATTTGAGTGGAGGGGACTTCAGGACATCATCTGGTCCAACCTGCTCAAAGCAGGGTCACTTACGAGATCTGACAAGGTTGCTCTGGCCTTTATTTAATTAGGCCTTGAAAACCTCCAACAGAGACTGCATAGTCTCTCTGGGCAACCTGGCCAAATGCTCATCTATGGTCATGATGAAAAAATTTCTTATATCCAGTCTAAATCTCTCTCGTTTTTACCTTTCTCACTCATCCTCCTGCTGTGTAGCACTATGAAGTGCCTGGCTCCATTTGCTTGATAAGCCTCTTGTAGGTACTGGAAGGTCTGTAAGATCTCCCTTAAGCTCTTGATCTAGACCCCTGAATGACAGACATAAAGCACGTTGGCTTTATAATCCTTTTCTCAAAAGGTTAAAATAAATGCTGTGCCTTGAAAAAAATCCTCCCCAATCATCCTCAAACTTGGCAAGAAATTCTCATTGTGCACAGCGTGAGGAGCCATTCTTCACAAGCGCTGGTGACCCACGCACTGAGATGGCCCACGACCCAGCCTGAAGTGAGAGAAGGGAGAACTATTTGTATTTTCACTACGCAACACTAAGCCCAACCCTCAAAGGAATGGGGAGGAATGGTGAAACGAGGCCACACCACAACAGCAAGAGAAATGTATGCCCTCCCATCTCCCCTAACCTTGGGATGCCCCTCCCATCTCCCCTAACACTTCCTCCTTGGGTGAAGAGATTTAAAATAAAACCCCACGCCAGCTC